GGGTAAGTATAAAAAGAGGAAAAATGAATTTATATACATCTATATACAGAAGTGAATATGCATTTACCATGTAATAAATAAAGTGCCATAGGTGCAGACAAGGTAAGGTGCAGATGTGCCATGAGGTACAGATGTTTTTATAATTTACAGATGGAAGAAATTAAGTTGTGTGTGTAGTTGTCCATTGTGTTGCCCAGTTATGTGCTGTGGTTTAGGAGTCTCACTGCTTGTGGGTAAAAACTCCTCCTAAACCGTTCCGTTCTTGTTTTCAGGCTACAGAGGCGTTTCCCAGACCTTTAATTTAAAAAAAGATTATTGATATTATGATTGGCTGCTTCTGTGAAAAGCCAAATGCCTAAGACATTGACAGCAATCCCATAATGTCTGTCTCCCGTCCTAACCCATCAGCTCGCCTTCCATATAACATTAAATCAAGCCAGCACAAATCATAAAGCTTTGAGGCTCCCCTATTTTATAGACAGTAGATTGAAAAATACTATTAAGGATAATTGCCACAGATGCAGTTAAACCTTAACAACACCAGAAATTTGCCCAGATTCTTTCTTAAAAGAAGACAAAAGTTAATATGGACACAAGAAATTGTCAGTTCATTGGTGGTGTAAGAGGGAAATAAAATGTATATCATTTCAAAGTGGCTTAAAACTGATGCTTTTTTAATTGTACTTCGAATTGCAATACAAAGACTGCCCCTTGTCGAATGATATAAAGTGTCACTGCAATCAGAAACATGACTTATGAGGGTTATAATGCCAAGCAGCAATGAATCAAACAATTGTTTCAAACTAGTGGTGTGACTCAGGGGAACTTTGATCATATTACTGACATCAAGGTCAAGGAATTTTTTTTTCTCATAAAATTACCTGTATTTTGATGCCAGAATCTGAATGGTATATGCATGACAGCAGTGATATGTGCATATGGAGTACAGTCATCTGATAAGAGATGGTGATAAACAGAACATTTCACGTAATACCTTTCTTAATATTTAAGCCTGGTCCTTGTGAAAAATGCCAGTATCACAAGGGGGATCCCACATGATGCATGTGGCTCTATTTCTGGATCTCTGTGGTCAAACCCACTGATGTGAATGTAACCATAAATACTAACACCTGTGGCTTGGTATCCTGTGAAGAATTTAAAGAATTTTTTGGCTACGCATCTTTGTAAATGACTTGCACGTCATAGATAAATATCATGTGCAGACTGAGATAAAATGGGTTGTGCGCATAAATTACGACAGTAGGCTACTACTACATTTTGTGGAACAAATGCAAGGATTATTTAAAATATGTATTGCAATTTGGTCAATCCTGCTCTGCGTCTAAGGAGTTGCATGTTATTCTTATGTTCATGTGCTTTTTCTCGCGGTATTCCAGTCTCCGACAGTCGCAAAACATGCACAATTATGGAAATTGGTGTCTCTAATTCACCCACAATGTGTATCTTGTAATGGGGGGGTGCCAGGCAAATGAATCTAGGCTCACCGTGATGCCTGTATTACAACTGGTAGGTTACTGCAGTGTTTCCCAACCTGGTCATCATGGACCAACAGACAATCCATGATTTGGGAGGGAGGGAAAATGTGGACTGTCTGGCAGGGAGCTCAGAGGTAGCAAAAACATGGGCTGGCTGTGGGTCCATGAGGATTAGATTGGGAAACACTGGGTTACTGTTATCTGAATACATCAATTACAGTAAATATACATGCAGCAATGGGCTTTCATTTTTTATTTTGCCAAACAACATCCTGTTATGCAGGAGAAACAGAAAAATGTAGTGAGTAGTGATGATTGGAGTACAGTCTGGTGAATATGCAGTTTAAGGGGGGTTATGCAAGGTATCCAATCTGGATTCGAGGCGAACGTCAGCTAAAAATGTTACATTCACCCAAAATCTTGCTTTACCGTCTTTTTAACCTGTAATTTCCTGCAAATGTTAATACATCTCTTTGTAGAAACCAGCTGGAGTTGTTTTGCAACAGGTGATAGGAATGCTAGAAGAATGAGGAAAAAATAAAACCGTGTCACACATCATATTGAGTGGCGGTAAACCACAGTATTTATAGGCCAAAAAATAACAAACAGCAGTTGTGAGAAATTTCCAGTGTGCCATGCCCCCCTCGTTACCTCGTGTTAATTCCCGATTGTGATCACCTGTTGCCTGTTATTTTCGGCTTGTCCTGTGTATTTAGTCCGCGTCTGAGGTCGTTTTCCACAGGTCTGTCATTGATGTTCGTTGCCGTGAGCTCCTAGTTTGTGCTGTCCGCCTTAAATAAACCCCGTTTACCCGCATTTACGGCTCTCTCGCCTGCTTCCCAGCTCGCCCGCACGCCGCTCGCAACATTTATTAGTTTTCTGTTAAAGGACAGCAAAAGATAAACGGTTTTTACAGTTCATGATTGTTGCATTGTTGCAAAAGCACATTTCACCTATGGTTTATGAACACTTCTCGGGTATCATTAGAACATTAAAAAAATAATTTGTCTTTTCAGATACTGTATGATATGATATGTTAATAGCACAAGTACTCCGTTTTAGAAGTAAAAATATCTCAGATGCTTTTATTATTATTATTGTTGGTACAAAATAACATTTGCAATTAATGTCCATAGCTAAAGAATACAATTGTAATAAAAAATCCAAAGTTTACTACCCAGGATTGCCGCAAACAACTAAGCACCCCCCCGCCCCACCCCACCCCACCCCCAGACACTCCTCACTTAACATCCTGGATTTAGGACTAGCTCTCTAACCAGTCGGTATTGTACGCTGTACGAGAACTTTGGTCATGGAAACGGCAGCGCTGCGTATCAAAATCATCTCGAATCGCTCAGTCTCAGTCTCGCCCCTGCAGTCTGTGTCGGTATCCACTACACTCCCGTTTGCAATCCCCTAGACCACGCAAACAGCCGTGGATGGTTTCTTCGGTGATTCAGCCGGCACTGGGTTGCCAGCTTTGGTGAGCTGGCTGGAGTGAAATTTTCAGTTCGAGACAAGTCTGCACACGCATTTACATGTATGGAAAAGTTTTATTAGGCCTACTTTGTAAATTGTCTGTAGGATTTGCAAATTATCCCAGCGCCTTTTATGTAGCTAATTTTAGGTTGATAATGGAATAATATAGATTTACCGTAAGATTTCTTGCGTGAATCAGAAATCGTCTCGTCAGATGCGTGACAGTTGGCAACCCTGCATGCCTGCATAATTGGAGTATCAGCAGTGGGACGGCAATCACGGACGTAGAAGCAGCCGGAAAGTTTATTGACTAATTTGATGAAATCATCGAGATACGCAAATTAAAACAAACCTAAGTAATGTATAGGCCTATATTTAGGCCTATCCTCCATTCCGTTTATTACAATATACAGTACACTACTCTATAAACATTTATGAATATACTGATAATGTTATAAATTGGGCAAAGGAGACATTAAAACCAACATCTAAAGATGGTTGACCCAAACCCACTACCAGCAGCTACAGTATGCCTGAAATATCGGTAAGGGGTGGCTCCTCGAACAGAACTCGGTCACTGAGTGAGGAATGTCTGCATTTTTTATGTACACAGTATTTGGATAATCCTTCGCAGTAGGTTATTTCTAATACTCAAGCGAGTGTCAGTTGTTTGGTTTAAACGCATCGCAATAAATCTTCCGGTTCCTGCTGTGAGTTTAAAGGCACTTAATTCTCACGCACCAATTGCATTCTGGGCAGGGGCGGATTAACGCACAGGCTAGATATGGCTTAAGCCTAGGGGCCCCACGTGTGCCAGCCTGCAAGGGGGCCCCCATTGGCGCGGAGGGGGGCGGGGTTGGGGGGCCCACAGACTACTGTAGCCTAGGGGCCTCTGTGCACCTTAATCCGCCCCTGATTCTGGGTGTTCTTAATGACAGCAGCGCTTTTCCACAATTTCTGAGCGTAGTATGATTACTATAGAATTAAAAAATCATTTCACCACCAGTCGAACCAGTAACCTGCAGATCACAGAGACAGGTGCTAACTTGCACAGTAGGTTTATATTTTTCACTGCAGGCTACAGCCTAACCCACTTTGCAGGTTAGCACCTATCTCTGTGATCTGAAGGTTACTGGTTCTAATCCTGTTCTCCTCTAAGTGACATCACTAGACCTTGAACAAAACCCTGAAAACTAACCCAGGGGCACCAGATTTATGCGGTCTGGTCTGACCCCAACCTTTAACTCCATAGGTGTGACTCATAGAGTATAGGGGGTGCGATCTGACCTAAAATTATCCATCCATCCATTGTCCAACCCGCTTACCCTACTGGACCTAAAATAATTATCATGGTATTTTCAGTTTTTGAAAAGTGACGCTATTATATCACGGTATTACTTTTTTCCAAGTTTTGGGAGGAGTCACAGGTCCTGTCCCTTTATGTACATAAAAATCTTATGTTAATATATTAATACATGGAATGTATCGTTTTCATTTAGGGAGACAAGGGCAAGTATCAACAGCATTTATTTTGCAAAAAGCATCAAGATGAATGATCTGTTCTGCTGTACCAAAAGACATGGTAGCTGTGAGCCACACTGTATCAGGGAACATAAAACCACACAAACAAAAGCATTAAGGACCACAGCTACGAAAGTACAACGTAGATGTCACACGTCTCCCGGAAGTTAGGAAAGTCTCCCGCATGTTGACAGCCGCTCGATCGATCCCTGACGCAGGTGAGATTATACGCAATTGTACATTTTTATTTTTTTAGAGCGAGAGCTTAACTAGTATCTTTGGAGAAGGAGAACCAGGGAGCCGCTATCAACCACAGATGGCCGTCAACATCAGGGTGTATTTAACTGTATTTGACTCTCCCTCCCTCTTTGAGTCTGGTCCCTCCCAAGGTTTCTTCCTTCTGGGGAGTTTTTCCTTGCCAATGTCGCCTATGGCTTACTCACTGGGGGCTTTGGGTGGGGATGCTGTAAAGTGCTTTGGGACAATGTAATGTTGTGATAATGCGCTATACAAAAATAAATTTGTTGTTGTTGTTGTTGACTCCCGGAACTTCCGGGACAAGTGGGACGTCTGTAAAGTGAAACGTTTACTGGCATCGGTGTACCGCCCACCCCAAATCATGCAGTAAGATGTGAAATGTGAAAATTAAAGAATTCTGACGTCCCTGTATTTATACTAATATAAATGGAAAAAAAAAACAGTAAAATTAAGAAAAATAAATAGTTGCAAGGGCATAACTTTGAATTCAACATTGGGGGTTGGAGGTCCCTACCCATTCAAATATGATTATATGATTATTTAGGGGAGGTTGTAGTGGCCGGTTCTGATTATTGGGGGGTCACAAGCCCCCATAATTTACGCCTATAACATGTTAGTCTCATGACATTTCTGGCCAGACATCAATAGCAATAATAAAAGTCACAGGACATCGAAAGTTCAAATTCCTCTGTCTCATTCCGTACTACTTCCTTCAGCGTCCCGTGAAGCCGTCGTCAGTCTGTCTCCGGGCGGGGCGGCGATGTGCAGACAGATAATAATGCAGATAAGCCTGCCTGCGCGGCACGATCGGCAGGTGCGTGTTTTACAGTAAGCTTTCATTGGTGCAGTTCCTGCTCATGACATCCTTATTTTTCGAAACTTTGAAATTGCAGGCTTAGACACATTAAGCGCTCTGTCAACCTTTAAAATATCCCTCTTTTTTTTGCTTTATTCGTTGTCTCTCGATATTATCAAAAACACGTAAAACAAACCACCACCGAGAAACGTGATGACATTTGATTTCCGTAATATAATATATCTTATATAGCGTACCACTTAAAACTCAGTTTTAAAATTCTCATCTGCCACAAGAGTAGTTGAGTAAACGGTAAAAGAACAAGAAAGTCTACAGAAGTTACCTAACACCAGCTCAGTGTTCTGTTTTACTTTCTATTTATCTAAATAATAGTATGTTAATTATTTTTGTCATACTGACAACAGATCAAATGTCCGCATCAGTGCGGTAAAAGCTTTTTAAAAACTACATATCCCATCATTCAGTGGGAACGGCTTATCCGAAGGAAAACGTAAAAGGGAATAATAATTCACATAATTCCGAGTGTCATCCGTATTCCGATAAATTGCATATTGCAGTTAGGAAAGTACTTATTAAGATGTAGTAATATTTTAAAAATACGATGTTGTGGACGAAGGGGATCTTATAAGCGAATCTCTGTAAAGATTGTTACAAGCAGCATTTCTATCGATCATGCGCAGTGTTCGATATTTATTTCGTGCATGATTTTATGTATTTGTTTTTGCCACGGTCACCGGCGGCGGCCACTGCACTGACAAGAGCACCGGGGCGGGCGAAGCGGAGCAGGAAAAGCCGACCGGAGTCGTCGGAAGGTGCGAACCGGTAACGCGGACGGTAAACAGGGTAAACGCGGCTGCAGAAGATGAACCTAATTATTATAATAGGTCCAGTTTCTCCTCATTGATCGATCATTTAAACGCTGTTGTATAATAAGGATGCTCACTGATAATCCTTATAATAATGTAAATGTATAAAAATATTTCATATCTATACTATCAACGTTTTGCAAAAACGTAGGTATTACAGATACGCAGCCTACACCGCATAGTGGCCACATTTAATAAAGCGATATTAATTTCGAAAGGGCGTTTCTATTTGTTTGTTTTGTTTTGTTTTTTTTGTTAATGACGGATATTGTAAAATCATGCAATATTAACCAATTTTGTATCAAATATTTCATTTAACCCTAGCTGGTTGAGTCTGATGCCGGGCAGATCGGAGACGCAGCTTCCTGCGGATTTACGCAGACACTCCGGTCTTATCATGTAGTGCCACCTCCGCACCCCCCATTACTATCAGCGTGCGCAGCCTTCATCGCCAGCAATGGTGGACAACCGCTACGCCACGGCCCTAGTGATCGGCTCTGTCCTCAGCATCCTGGCCACCGTGTATCTGTCAGTGGCAGTAGGCACACAGCACTGGTACCAGTATCGGAGTCCGCCAGCCATGGGGGAGGCCAACGCTTCGGAGCTGCGGGCCATGCAGGAAGAGTTTATGAGCAGCGATTTCGACGAGAAAACCTACAGCGACACGCTCTTCCGCCTCAACGGCACAATGGGACTTTGGTGGCGTTGCGTGTTGGTGCCAACCCATTCCCATTGGTACAAGGAGCCCGGTAAGGGCCAAGCGGTCACACGTGAGCTCCCATACTCACACTGGTGTAACATGCAGGAGGCTAGCCACAATGTATTCACGCACACACTTTGCTGCACTCGTACTTTACACCTTTACATGCAGTAAAATACTAAACTAGTTTCAATTTGTTTCTCTAGGGAATCATTAACCTGAGTGGATTCCAGCCTTTATCCATCTTTTGATCTTGACAACAACTTTTTCCCCATTCTGTAGCTCATAGACGACTTGATTTTCTTCCACTGCACATCCTTCCCCCTTTCACAGATCCAAAGATGGTGACAGAGTGTGTAAGTTTCACACTGCCCCAACAGTTCATGCCCAAGTACAGAGAACCAGGAAACCACAACAGCGGAGAGGACCTGGTCCGCACATGTGAGTAGGGTCAACAGCGCTGGTTTTGCCCTTTTCTTTCTGGTGAGCCCTAACACTGGATAACGTTACTGCACATTCTTCTCTATACAGATCTATGGCGGTGTCAGTTTTTATTGCCACTGGTGTCACTGGGCCTGGTGGTCCTAGGAGGCATGATCGGAATTTGTGCCTGTCTGTGTCGGAGCCTAACGCCGCTCCTGGGCATTGGAGTGCTCCACCTGCTGGCCGGTAAAAAGTACTGCATGGATTTTTTTTTTTTCTGTAAATGTTTGCCCCTGACCACGAGATTAGTGACGTCTCACATGTCTTCCACTCTCTGCTTCCTGCCCCTCGCAGGCATTTGCACTCTGGCCACCGTGTGCTGCTACCTGGCGGGGATGGATCTCCTGCACCGGGTGTCAGTCCTGCCGGATGGAGTCGATGGGAATCTGGGTTGGTCTCTGTACCTGGCGCTCATCTCCTGCCCCCTGCACATGATGGCCGCTGCCTTGCTGGTGTGGGCGGCTCGTAGTCACGGACAGAGCTACTATCGCATGACCGCCTACAGAGTGGCATAGCAGCATGTGGTCGTAACCTCTACAAGATGACCGCTTACAGGATGGCATGGTAAAACATGGTCACGATCAATCAAACATGACAACTCATGTAGCTGTATGGGGCTGTACACATTTATTTCCATATGGCTGGGAGTGTAATGAGCCATGATAAGTTCCTAGATCATAATGTCATAATACCACACGATCACTGGTGAAAAGGCACAAAGCCACCATCGTAACCCGTGGCACAACACAATCACTGGTGAAAAGGCACAAAGCCACCATCGTAACCCGTGTCACAAGACTGCATTTCCAGGTAGAGTGAAAGCATCTTAAACAGCCCCAACTACATTATTTTAGAGAGAGATAAATCTTCCTGCAACTGTAGCCAGAGACCGTTAAAAATCTTCCTGAACGAACGACCAAAATATTTGCACTTGAAAAGCCCATGTAGTGATTTTCTCGCCAGACCTGTAGTTGCTCCAGTTAGTTATTTGTCATTATGAATTTGTTTAGTGTCTGAGCCTTTTGTGTGTTTCAGGTAGGCAGGTGCAAGCAAGTTTTAGCCAGGGGGTAGCTTAGGTATGCTAAAATCTAGCCCAACGAAACCTGCTTTTGTGTGCTTTTAATTGCACCCAGCTAATCCTTGTTGAAATGTCCTTCTGTTTGTGGTATGATGATTTGCTGTGTGGCTCGTTTTGCCGCTCTGAGTAACATTGGCTTTAACTTGTTGTGGTAACTTATTAGCTGTGGTTCACGGTTTTGCTTGTGCTTATTTTATGAAAATATATTATGGCTTCTGCTTCACATTTTTTTTTCATGTATTTTCTTAGGTTAAAAGTTTTGACTTGATCAAGCTTTTTTTTTTCTTCTCTGCAGCATTATTTTATGATTTATGAAGTCGTCGCAGAACTGACCGGAATGTAATTAGCTTGATGAGCCTGATGTAACTGTAGCTTAACACACAGTACAACGTCTCCAGAAATGCAAGTTGTTTTTGGAAGCTTATTGTTACGGCGTATTCAGATGTGATGCAGAATGCTGAACAGAAGATGAGAGCTTTAAATATAGTTTTTAATTGAATTTCAGAACAATAGTAATATAAAATAAAGCACAAAAAGAAAAGCAGAATGTGACTTCACAGTTGTATTATGTGGAAGCACAGTATTAAACAGAACTATTTATTAGTAGTGATATGTCTTGTACTTTATTTAGTCCCTCTGTCACCCAAAAAATATGAAGTTGATTGAGGTATGTGTGAAAGTGGGCTAAATGATAAAGAAGTCTATGTCTTTGTGTATATCACCGAAATAAAACGTTGTTCTTGTTCTGGGTGTGTCTGCCACCTGCTGGCAGTGGATTTGCTTGCAGGTGGTGTAGGATTACTAAGCTGTTTTAATAAGAAACAGACCGGTATACTCCTAGCTGGCCTAGGAGATTAATGTAGGGTAGACAGGAAAAAAATCAGATTAAGAGTGCAAAATAGTTCAGGATTGAGGCTGTAATTATAACAGGCACAGATATACTGGGCATATAACTAGCTCTTAGCACATTCTCCGTCATATAAAGGAAGAAAAGTTAAATGAAGGCTTATTCAGGTTTGTCCAGAACACTGACATTCCTGAGATTGTTTATGAGATGCGATGTGATGGTTTTACCCGTGCAGTGCTCATTTTTATTGCCAGCTGCTAACTCGTGTGTAGTCATTCCGTAGTTTCGGTCCTTCATTCACACGCTTTCCCTTGTCATCACCCGAACAGATGGAATGTTCACTTTTTTCTTCCGGGCTAGTAAGAAAGCAATTCCTTTCTCATAGTATGCAGACTCGTTTACGAAGAAAGGATATAGAGGTTCCTCGCCTCTGTAATACTCTGTGTTTCCCGAGAATGTCAGGAACAAGGGATCGCCTTGGTGAAGCAGGCAAAAGTCGTGGTCCTGTGGCATGATAGAGAAAAATACTGAGAGCAATTTGTTCACATATCAGTACATATAAATGTCCACTAGGGCAGGCTGGAGAGGTCCAGCATGCACAGCCTGTACCTGGAGTTGGGGGTGGATCGTTGCTGTGATCATCTGGGTCTCTGGATCTCTGGGGTAATCAATGGTCTTCACCAAGGTGTAGATTTCCATCACTTTGTCATCAAACTGGACACCTGCAGAGGTAATGCAGCTGGAGCAATGCAGACATTCATTTATGTCTTCAAAGTTCTAAGAATCAGATTAAGAGAGCAATATAGTTCAGTATTGAGGCTTTAATTAATACAGGCCCATGTACTGGGTATATAATAAGACCTTAAAGGAACATAGAGGAAGGGAAGCTAAATTGAAGGCCTTTCCAGGTCAGTGTAAAGAACCTCATTCTAGTGTAGGGCTCTTCAAATCTGGCCCTCAAATCCAAATCCAGGCCTTGTTTTCAGTTCTCCCAGATAGTTTAACATCGCACCAGCAGTTTAATGATTACTGATTCTGATTGGTCAGAAGTTTCACGGGTAAAGGAAGGCTGGAAAATCAGCAGTGCTCGGACCTTGAGGGCCGTGATTTTAACACCCCTACTCCAGTGTGACGATGGGGAGCAGGAAATGGTGACCCTCTTACAACAATGATGATCAGAACTTAGGGTAAAAAAAACCCAGAGCAAAATCAAGAATACCCGATTACAATAGGTCCTAAAAAAGATTACACACAAAAAACCTAGAAAATTACTATTGTAAATATAATGGCAGGTTCCTTGAACTCTACATGATAAGGAAATCCATACATATTACCGTTATATTTTCATGGCAACAACCTACATACCCCAAAGGGCAAAAGGTACATGGGTATATAGAATTTATATATATATATATAAAGCTAATATCCTGTTAGCTGCCACCTATTCAGTTACAGAAGTAAACGGTGCTGCCTGCTGCCCCAACCATGCCGTCCCAGTAAGCAACATGATAAAGGCCCCAATACATAGAAAAAGAATGGCTGGAAACATAGAGCTTACAACTTAATGAATGCATCTCTATACCTGAGTTAAAGCGCTTGATCCAGTCCAGTACAAGGCGGACCCCCTCCGTCATGGTGCCCCAGACGTCTGCCCTGACGACCCCATGGGGCTGTGGACCAACCTCCATAGCTGGAGGAAAGGAAAACTCTTTAACCTCCTTCCTCTTGATTTCTATTCCGCACCATATTTCCCACCATCCAGTGACATGGGTACTATAGAGGTGGATCAAAGTCTTATCCATATATATATATATATAAATATAAAGACAGGACGGGACACAGCAAAATGCCAATGGCAGATAATGACTTTTAGGCAATTCTGGGATGAATCACTGAAGATATTGATGATCTATAGAGTCCATGCAAGCGGAGCCTGGGTTCTCATTCTAAATGGTGCTTTCATGTAAAGTGCACGTCATCAATGGTCACCAAATCTCACCAAAGCCATGCTTGCCCACTGACTCCAGAGAATAGGCTTCAGAGAGAGGAACATCATAGTGGATATACCTCACAGGGACGGACGGCATTTCCTTCTGAGAAAACACAAAATGGCTCAGTCCAGCCACAATCCCAGTTAACCCCTGTAGTACATTTCACATAGTTTATTTCAGCAAGAATTTGTGACATAATATTTGTCGCTATAACTTTCACAGGCCAGATAAGCAAATAGTGGTAAATGAAAAATCGATTATTTTTTATTCTGCAGCTAAACGGGAAAAGCCCATGTAGATTATTGTCTAGCTGGACCTTCTGAATTCCCAGAATCAAAAAACAACCCCCCCCACCTGCAGGTGTCTACAGATGTGCAGAGAGATCCAGTCGCATTCGGAGTACGAGATGAGACACAGGCCCATGTTGGCAGTGGTGTTGTGCAGGTCGCACACCAGGTCCACAGACTTAACGCTGCCCTTAGGGCCCAGGAAAACGTTCAGCTCCTGCGCTCGCTGAATCTCATACGGGGTCCCGTCTGACACTGGAACACTGCAAGTATGAGTCATGTTAAATGTTAAATATTAGAGCCAAATATTATCTCTCTGTGCCTGTGTCATGTCTTCTCATAATCATACTTATTAATAATATTACTGGTTAACACTGCCATTGTCATCTTATTAAGAGGCTTTGTCATCATCGTCTTCATCTCCATCACCACATCACCTCCATTGTACACCTCTGACCTGAGGGTGGCAGTAGTGAAGCAGCGGTTGAGGTCTGTCTCTATATATCGCTGACACCGCTGGACAGCTCGCGGGTTGGATATCACCGGGAGGATGTCGGGAGCCTCTGCCCCTTCCTCCTTCCTCTTCCTCTTCTGCAGTTCCTTCACCAGGAACACGCCCGTCATCTCGTTGCCGTGGGTGCCGCCGCAGATCGCCACGCGGGACACAGCCGGCAGACTGACCACCTCCATCTGTAGCTCCGGGAGAGTTTGAGGCACAGCGCTGCATTGCAATGTAAATAGATGCATCGACAGATATTTTTCCATATCGCTATCTGTCTTTTGAATAGTAACAGCTGCTATACTTATCAGTGTGCTTACCTTATATAACTAAATACAAGAATAATACTACAGATTTTAAAAAGTCAGATATTTAAAAAAAATTTTGTAATTTTGTAAAGATAGATAGATACCACCTGCCTAATGTTGTGTAGGTCCCTCTCGTGCCTCCAAAATAACTCTGACCCACTGAGGCACGGACTCCACAAAACCCATGAAGGTGTCCTGACTTATCTGGCACTAAGACGTTAGCAGCAGATCCTTTAAGCCCTGGAAATTGTCAGGTGGGGCCTCCACGTATCAGAGTTGTTTGTCTGGCACATTCCACTGATGCTCGATCAGACTGAGATCTGATCTGAGATCTGGGGGATTTGGAGGCCAAGTCAACACCTTGAGCTCCTTTGTCCATGCTCCTCAAACCATTCCTGAACAGTTTTTGCAGTGTGGCTGGGCGCATCCTGCTAAAAGAGGCCACTGCCATCGAGGAATAGTGTTGCCATGACAGGATGTGCTTGGTCTACAACAGTGCTTAGGCAGGTGGTAAGTCTGAAAGCAACATCCACATGAAGGCCAAGGCTTCCCAGCAGAACATTGCCCAGAGCTTCACACTGCCTCCAGCTTGCCTTCATCCCATAGTGCATCCTGGTGCCATCTGCTCCCCAGGTAAATGACGCCCGAGCACCCAGCCATCCACATGATGTCACAGTGCAACTTCTTCCCATTGCTCTGTGGTCCAGTTCTGATGCCTATCTGCCCAATATAGGTGCTTTTGGCGATGGGCTGTGCGCGTTGTATCACCTTTCTATCATGAACTTTTCCAGCAATTTGTGCTACAGTAGCTCTTCTGTGAGATCGGGTCAGACAGACTAGCCCACGTGCATCAGTGAGCCTTAGCCGTGCATGAGCCCATCGCCGGTTCACCGGTTGACCTTCCTTGGGCCACTTTTGGTAGATACTAACCAATGCATACTGGGAACATCCCACAAGACCTGCCGTTTTGTAGATACCCAGTTTTCTATCCATCCCAGTTTGGCCCTTATCAAAGTCACTCTTACAATTGCCCATTTTTCCTGCTTTCAACACATCAGCTTCAAGAAATGACTATTTACTTCTCTAATGTATAACGTCACCCTTCACATATGCCATTGTAATGACATAATTACTGTTATTCACTTCACCCGCCAGTGGTTTTAACATTATGGCCGATTCATACGTCAGTATGAATATATAAAAATATGTCCAGTAATATACATAAACAGCAACAGCAGCTATAGATATTGTACAGTTCAACTGATTTGCAAGCTGAGGTCACATACATTATTATTATATATAAGCTGTTCTTTAGAATAGTGTTTATTCTGTGAAAACCTAGAGTTACTTGCTCTTGATCCCTGCTATGTGACAAACACATATTTTAACAAAATGCCCCCTTAAGTAATGTTTTAAATAATAAATACTTTAATCATTACTTATTACTATTACTTTGAATGTTTTAAATTATTACTGTCATTAATTTCATAACCGTGCATTATGTACACATATACTACCATATATACATACTGACACATGCATAAACTCACACACACCATTCCATGTATAATTCCTCCCGTCATGTACACACAAGCACTGTCCCGCATATACAGTGACACAGTCAATCCCACAGCTGTTCATGTTTTCTCTAGAGTTCCAAGATCGCACTGCTGGCAGAAAACCAAGGCCTAGTACCAAGCAGAAATAGCAAAAGGAAATGCTGCAGTTTGATGGCATGAGAGGCTGCCTGAGGAAGTCCCTACCTTGTAAATGAGGTGACTGGATCTCCTTTCCTCTTCCTGATCTGCTACGGTGACCATAGATAACTCCTGAAGACTCACCGATGCACTTTTAGATTGGAGTGGAAATGAGCACGCCTGAAAATCTTTCACGAAATATAATAAACACTCACAGGGCTTAATGATTGTGCATGCAAGAACGCGAGGGAAAAATAATGCTGCTGACACAGCTACAAAATCAACGCTTAGTCTTTGTCTTCTTTAATCATTGCTTGCTCTCCTCGGTCGAAGTTGCTCACTATGCTAAAGCGAACCTTCTCAGGTTTACGTGCAGCGAGGTGACCTTTCACTGTCTCTCACTATCTCTTTTGCTGCTTGCGTTTCTGTCCCTGCAGAGTCAAGCGGGATGTGTGTTGCAATGTATACTCTACCCCCCTCCCCCTCAGACTGTCATCCAATGCAGCTAATGTCCCCTGCCCCCATCCCTCTCTCTACCTCTTTTTTTCTCTCTCTCTATTCTATTCTACACTTGTGGTCCCTCAAAAACTCTGTAATGTACGGAACAATGGCATCCAGTCAAACCACTCTAAAAGCATTGTATCTAATGGCCACAAGAGAGGATCAATCCAGAAAGGATTAGTCACATCACATGGACTTAAGTGTGCAATACAGAAACTCAACATAATGCTAGTATCACAGATGAAAGTTATTCCCTATTTTGTGCCTGTTGTTTCCTGGATAGGCTCTGGACCAATGAATGGCTGACTCAATAAAACATCACCAAACATTTTGCTACTAACACTTTTTAATGCAAAACCAGCTGTGAACTGACAAAGGCTCCACTAATAATCCAAAAAAAGATGAAAATCAAATACTCACTCATAGTGCTGTACTGTAAATATGATGAGCATATGAAAAAGCTGACTGGATCTTATTTTGTGATTTCAGGAAATCCACCTAATATTACTGGCAGATTTAGGTAGGGGTGACATGGGTGGTCGTCCAGGACATTCTGTAATACTCTGTATATATATACACGCACACACATATGCCATATATATATGTGTGTACATATAAATAAAAATATAAATAATATAATATAGATAAATATAATATAAATTATATATCAAATTACTTATAGTGTCACATCACGTGACCTGGCCACCTGACCTACAGAGGTCACGTAGAAAACTTTTTACCGGAAAGTGAAGGAAAAGCGAATGATGCACAGTCTAAGTTCACTTTCCAAAATTGATGTATTTGCGAATGAGAGTTCCGAATGAACCAGCTTTTTACTTCATAATTCCACTTTTCATAATAAAGGTGCACTCTGTCAATTACTGTGATTAGGGCGGGACCGCACTTGAGATTTGCTATTCCTTGGCGATCCATTATTTGGCCAAGCACATGCAGGAAGTGTCACGAGAAGCTATGGGGGACGTAGCCTATTAGTAGTTAGATGGGCAAATTAGCTGAGCAAACACAAGGATGTAGTTTATGATAAGAGGACCTCGTAATGGAGACTGAGAATGTAAATGAAGTGTTTAGCAGAATAAGTGCACTTACAGAGACGGAAATCGATGAATAACTTTCAACCATGTTGCGGGATTTTTAGACCACATGCTTCGTGTGGATGCAACGGTCACATCAAGTCGGGCACGTCGCCAGCTCTGCACCATACAACTAAACGATCTCTATGCCTTCCTGATGTCCAGGTTGAAACATTCAGGAAACACTTGATCCAATTACAAGTTCCGTCCCGCCCCCTTCATAATGATTTACAGAGCATCCCTTCATTACGAAAAGAGGCAATTTGAAATAAAATCCTGGTTAGGAAATACAAGTGTGAAACGTTGTTATATATAAATTAGAATTATTTAGGTGATCGCCTTTTTTCTGTTAAATAATATTTAAAAACGACAGTCTAATTAAAATCACAACATTATTACGAAGTACAATCTATATCATACGCAGAAGACACTTTATTGCAATCATTTATTCGTTATATGTACATATATACATACATATATACATGTAATTTCATTTTGAGTATTATGGCGTTCCATAAGCACTGACGCCCCCCCCCCAAAAAAAAAAAAATCGTGATGTGAAATTTGCGCTGTAGGCTAGTATAACTTTTTTATCTTTATATATTACAATTTTTTTCTATTTACATTAGTTACTCCTTTTTGATATTTATTAATCTTATTTGTGTGTGTGTGTGTGTGTGTGTGTGTGTGTATATATATATATACAGTGCCGAATGAATTGGCTGTTTTGCTGGTGGGGGGCAGGTGGTTGGATATTGATGCATATTTTTTGTTGGGGGGGATGGGGAAAGCGCTGAAGGACGGGGTTCGCCCAGGGCGCCATACTAGCTAGAACCCCAACTGACTCCAATGATGAACATTAATTCCCGATCACTGTATTTCTGCCCTCTGCTGTTAGTTTTGCCATATTGCATCCTGATTATTGAGAAGAAATCTGGTCTCTCTACAGATGGCGCCAAATTAAACTAAACTCTCGCACATACACACAAATGAACAAAGTTGTTTTTTTTTTTGTTTTTTTAAAAGCAGCTTTTCCCCATTATCCTGACGCACACAGCGTTATACCCCTGCATAAAGGACTGAATAGCCATATAGTGAGAATCCGGTATCTATCTATCCGGAAGATTAACATTTTTATTCTTTTACATTGATCTATGTCTTTTGACTTAACTAGCTTGAAGTTTTCAATATTTGAATTACCGCTGTTAGGATTACATGGATTTTATTACATATTTAACAAAATGTAATTTTAAATAATAAAATGTCCGAGAGCATTGGCGGAGCGGGGGGGGGTGGTTTACTGGGCTTAAGCCCGGGTTGTTGTTTCAGAAGCCCAGGGTCTTTTGGAGTGTAATTTATTTCATAGTTAGATGCCTGACTGACAACTGTATAAAACAAAAACTACACACAATATTCGAAGCACATAGCGCACAGTCGTAAATTCCCCCTAATTTTGGTATGATCCGAGCTCAGGCACTAGGCGACTGAGCACAGCACTTACGCTTTGAGCGAGGGGGGAGAAGCTGCTGCCTGCGAATTTGCTGTAGGAGAAGTGCAGACAGGCAGACAGAGGAGAGCTTAAGTTTGACCAGGTACCAAAGCAAATCATTCGTACTGTACAAATAATGTAAATATGACGCTGACAAAAGATATCAAACTGATCACTTGACCCATATTACGTTACTTGCTATTCGAGTGAATCAAGAAATGGCGAAATGAAAAGCCGAACAACAATGCTGTTTTTTTAGAGAGTCTTAGCTTACATGTGTGTTTATTTCATATTTTTAGTTGTTACCCTCCACGGCTAAATAAAGCACTCTAAATCGGTTTCAGTTATGTACTGATGTACACAACAATGGACATAAGGGGCTTAATTCTTTCAAAGAAAAAACTCAGGTAAATGTTATTTTATATATTATGCTTTGTATGTTGTTCAATATATTTCTATGCAAAACAAGAGGAATTTCAATACACAGCAGTATATTCACAGTTGAAACCAAATATTTACATACACTTTAGGGAAAAAACATAAAAACATTTTTTTTACTGTTAAACATCAATTTAGAGTAAACTTTTTTGTTTTATATAAATAAATATTGAAATATCTTTTGAATTAGTTAAATGTCAGAATAAAGAGAGAGAGAGAGATGTCTATTTTTATCACTTTCATCAAATTTGAGTATATATATACACTAAGTTTATTGTGTCTTTAATTAATAAGAAAACTCCAGACGATTCCATTCTGAGTTTAAGAAGCTTCTGATAGGTTAGTAGAGTCACAGCCTAATAAATCTTCAACTTCACAGCATGTTTTTCAGTCATTTCTAACCCCCCCCCCCTCCCGCATCCCACATCCCACATGAATACTACCCCGCATGCTAAGCCCCGGGTGTATAAAATGTCTGACTCCGCCTCTGTCCGACAGTTCAGAGTAATAGATCTTTGTTTTTTTCCAGTGGGTTACATAGGTTTCGTTTAAACATAACACTAGATTACTTAAATAAATCTGATTTGGTTTTCAAAGCAACCAAAATGCGACTCCGGTGGGACTCGAACCCACAACCTTTGAATCACCCCTCAAGTGCTTGACTAGAAGTCCAATGCGCTATCCATTGCGCCACGGAGCCACCTGTTGCTCAACGCTTGAAAATTTTTATATGGACATATCGCAGTGTTTCGTGCCAACACAAAATACTATTTCTGGGTAATTCTGTTCGTGGATTCTTCTTTTGCTGATCAAGATTATACAACTATTTCAAAGTAATAATTCTTGGTTACTCACAGCTTTCCAGCCTATGCCTCCTGGTGTCCCGAGAACTGCCCATCTAAAAAAAATCGTGTTAATGTGCAACAAATATGGCTCAACCGACACACGCATCAAGGTACTAATCACACGGAAGAAAAGAAGAACCCTCTATTGTTTCGTGCTGTCAACCACAATTGAATATTTATACTTCCAAACGGTGTAGACGCAGTCTTAAGGCGTTTCCATTTGCCAAGAAAAAAATACGAAGAAGACTGGCATCCACGCTGTCAATCTCAGAAATTAACCACACCGGAGAAGCATGCGTTTTTGTCAAGGGCTGCAGCCAGCGTTCCCTTTTCTCAAATAAATACCTGAATAGTGAATGCTAATGCACTATTACATGCTGAACGAACGTTTCAACGGTCTCGGATCTCCATTGGCCGGTGCCGTTTTCAGAACGGTCTCGACCGATTGGCCGAGCCGCGATACCACCCACCCACCGGCGCGTTTATATGAATGAAGTCAACAGCAGCACGGACGTTCTCGTCGCATCTGTCAAGCTCTTTTGCTTCGCATCCTACACAGCACTCACAGACGGGCCCGAGAAACTGCTAATTCGATTGTCTTAAAATGTGGAATCTGCGAAAAGCGGGCTGTGAAAAGGCGCACCACAGTGTATTCACCTCACTGTCGATTTATTTTTTTTTTGCCTAAAAAGTTATGTAGTCAGCATCATTAGCCATAAGTCATGTCAGTGACTGCTCAGAATGTAATAAAAAATATTTCGTACAGAGAAGTTATGTAGTCAGTGTCATTAATAATACTTCTCTCCAGTAATTGCTCAGAATGCAATTTTTAATGTAAACACAGCCCTGTTTACTTAAAAATGGATGAGATGTACATGTATGTGGATCCAAAATTCTTCAGGAAGCATTATATCAATATTTCAATGTCTTTTGTTTCATTATGTCTTGCATTAGGTCAACAAATGTTTGCATTTATTGATCTGTTCCTATTCCTATCAGAATGGACTCTGCACCGGTTTTCCGCTTTGAGCCCAGTGGGGAGCTCTCTCTGCGCCCCTCCCCCAGGGCACTGGCCGCCCAAAGAGCCACGATCCTGACACTCCAGAAGGCATCCCCAATGTCCTGGAGAGCTAAGAGGATGAGGGCTTTGAAAAGGCAGGGCCAGAAGAGGAACATGACACCACCATTTCCTCTTTGCCCTTCACTGACAGCCCTCTCACTCTGCACTCCTCACCCACCGTGGCAGTGGTCCCCTCGGCTCATGCAGAGCTGCCCGTGGACCCGAGCCCCAGCATTGTGACTCCAGGCGCTGATGATGATGATGTAAGCCCAAAACTGGAAAAGCAGAACCTAGATTCACTGATTTTTTATTTATTCACTTAAAGGAAATTTGCAACTTCTCTTTCACTCCACTCACACTTTGCTCCCTTTGTCATCCTGTCAGGTATTCAGAGGCCCAGATGAAGCCCCGGGGTACGACCACGTGGTCAGGCTGGTGAGGTACCTGGTGGGGCTGCGCCACCAGCCCTGTGTCTCGGAGCGTCAATTTGCCAGGATCGTCTCTCTCTGGAACAACCTGCCGGAGAGAGACAGGCAGCGTGTCTCGTACCCACCGAGGCACAGGGAGCGGCTCCTTCAGAGCAGGTTCCAGGCCAGCCACTCGAAAACGTCAGTGTGCGCAGGGAAGGAAAGCCTGAAGTGGTGAGTGAATCGTTTGTGTAGACAATGATATTACAGATTTCCAGGCATGCACTCTCTGCTGCTGTGTTACACTTAGCCTAACTTCTGCATTTTGAGCAGCTCCCTACTGGGCCAAGGCACTGGGCCTGCACAGTGGCCTCACGTGAGCAGACTTGTGGAGGCCATCTGCTTGGAGCTCTGCTCTCTGTGAGGCTGAACTGCTTGGCTGCCATCCTGCAGGACTACAGCAGGATCAGACGGCTGGTCCTGAGCAACCCGGGGCTCATGCAGGCCACATCACTGCAGCTTTTTGAGATACCAAACAGACAATGTACGCTGGTTTAAGTGTGTTCATGCGTTAAGTCTGAATGATGTAATACTCAATCTGTTTGGTAACTGGAAAGACGTCTACGTCTTTACAGGTTCTCACCTGCAGCCGATGCTAATCTGACATAATGATGACCTGGACCTGTATGACGGAGCAGCATTTATTGTCGAATGTGAGGTACCCTGGGCTAAATGTATGTGAACAAAGATTAAGTCCATGTAAACTGGGGTTCTTTAAATCCTACAAGTTAACCAACAAATTTCGCTTCACGATACAGGCCGTAATGTCCTGTTTGTTCCACTGATGTAATTCATGCAATGTAGTTAAATTTGTAGTCATAATTATTCACTTACATGAAGTGTACACTTTGAAATTGGATTTAAAAATGTCGATTTCGTATGTCCCGTCATTGTGCTGCATTTACAGCTGACTATCTGGAAATTGTTGCACGACTAACACATACATGTAAATCATAGTACTGTATTCTGTTATGTACTATTGTTGCTTTTATTTACAGAAATGGCATTTTTCTAATATTCAAATCTATGTAATAAACGAGTTTATGTTTAAGTAATCCTTTTTTTTTTACCGTGGTATCGAATTCAGTATCGAGAATCCTGGTGCCAGGAGTTACCCTTTTTAATGTCTTAATGAGTTTAATGAGTTATCCTCTTTTTAATGTGTACTTAATGCTCATCTGGAGCTACATGTCGTCCCCTTTCTTTTCTTAGTCCCTTTTATGGAATCTTTGCGCTGCCTGTCCAGAGCACGGGGTTGGGGGCTTTCTGGTTTCATTCTGGGTTTTCTCTGAGACATATTTCTTAAGGTCACGGTTGACTGACAAGCACATTCCGCTTCTGGTGTATGCGTAGCATTTTGAGATTTTATCTACATGCTTTTTCCATTTACACCTTGCTGTCTATTTATTTAGTTTAGATCATGGCTACTGTAAATATAGCTTCAGGGAACGTAAGGGCCCCGAATACCCCTAGAAAAAGGTCCAGTGTGTCTGACTTTTTGAAAAGCCTTGCCTTCTTAATAGAGACCCACTTACTAGGAAGATCTGTTTTGTTGCTGCTTCTGCTCCCACCCATGGCCCATTCTTCCTGGACCTGTCTAACCACATTAGATGCTTAGAATTTGACCTTGTTATCGGAACTGATGCCGATGCCGTCCACGACCCTGTCCTGGATAAATCTCCCTCCCTCTCTTGTGGGTAGCTGGGTGCCCCCCCCCCACTCATTCCTTGTGTAAATTTGTGAAGGACCGCAATTTGGTCGGCTCATTCCTCTTAATTAACCCCTCCGCCAGAGAATACTCCTTTTTCTCACCTCACTTGAGATCTCAGTCTCGCATAGATGACATCTTTGTTTCTTGCTCTCTTGCACCAGCTGTTTCTAACGTCTCTCTGCTTTCCTCTCTATCTGATCACATGTGTGCTTTCCTCCAATTAGCTGTACCTTCTCTACCTCCTCGGGCCTTGCGATGGAAATTTAATACATCTCTGCTTCAAAACTCCAATTTTATGGCCTTTTTGACCCTTAGACTTGAAGAATTTATCTCTATTAATGCGGGCTCAACTCATGGCCCAGCTTACTGCTGGATGGCTGTTAAGGGTTTTCTTTGTGATGCCACGATTGCTTTCGCTAGCAGCCTGACTCGTGAATGTCGTCAGAAAATTTCTGATTTCGAAAAGTGGCCATCTGAATTAGAAAGTGCGTGCTGCGTCCTGCAGTGGTCGATTAGGATCATGAGATCCTCATTACAAGCAGAAGAGCTGAGCTGGATGCTCTTCAGTCATGTCGCACCAAGTTTATAGTACATCAGGTCATGCCATTATGATTTTGGTGCCAGGCTCTCTCTCATCAGATCTTTCCTGTTCCATTCCTCTGTCCGCTGCAGTCCTTCTTTTTCTGGACTTCTCCTCTCTTTCTCTTTCTCGCTCCCAGCAGAGGCTCCTGATATCCGCCTTCTTGGTGGCTAAGTTGTTATTAGCCACTTGCCTGAAATCCCCTGACCACCATTCCCTCTGTCTGGAAGTCCACCCTCCACAATTTGCTGCTGCTTGAACTGTCTGTGGCCCGGATTAACAATTAGTCCAGCTCCACCATTCAAATTTGGCTTCAGGACAGGCAGCTAATCAAGGGCTGGCTGGGGGGTCATATCCTGAGGCCTATTATTATTATTATTATTATTATTAATAATAATAATTATTATTATTATAGTTATTTCTTTTTCCCTCAGCTTTCAGCCGCACTCTCTCCAGGGCTGGGTGTGCCGGTGACCTTCTTCTGTTCTATGTAAATAGTTCTTCAATAAAAAATTGATCACAAAAAAAAGGTGTTTTCTGTTTTAAGGGTTTTATTGAGCTTTGAATTGTCAATAAAACCCTTAAAACAAAAATAAAACCCTTAAACTCAGTAAAACCCTTAAAACAGAAAACACCAGTCTGGCTTTTTGTGTCATAAAGGGAACTTTCTGATCACCGGCAGAGAGCCATAACTTGCTAAACCTGTTTCCAGCAAAACTAAATCTAGGAAACGACAACCAAGGTGGTTTACTAAGGAAATTAAGAGTAAAGTCAGGAGGAAAAGGGCTCTGTTCCACAACTGGAAAATAACTAATGATTTCAAAATCAAGCAGGAGTATCTAAGTCTACAGGCAGAGTTAAAAAATGACATTAGGCTATCAAAGANTATATATATATATATATATATATATATATATATATATATATATATATACTGTATGTCGTAATGGGAACCTTACAATCACCATCAGAGAGCCGAAACACAAAGCACTCCAGTTTTTCAGGTCTGACTGCAAGTCTATCTGTACAATCAAGGATGCTTATGCAAAAAACTATAACGCTCTAGGCTCCTATAGTGGAGCACAGCGTCCAGGCTGGCCCTGAACACACGTGACAGTTAATATTAGAAATCCTCAGGTAAGTGAAGGGAGGTCGATTTACACAGAAAAAAAATCTAATCCGACTATTCCAGAATCTTGAGTTACGTAATGTATGCTAACGTGAAGGAAAATCTGATAATCGAATTAGGTTGTCGCTCCACATACCAAACTGACATTAAGATATATGAAGTACATGTAAAGGCAGTTTAAAAATACAGATGACTTAATATTTTAATACGAGAACTTGACAGCGCGGGGTTTGTTTGGAGCTTTCGAAGGCGTGATCCCGTGTCGGTGAGATCAGCGAGTGTCGCAATACTATGTCTCAACAGGTCAGGTCGCGACAGTCACGGCTGGGGGGCGGTTATGACAAAGGGGCGTGGTTACTGAGTTTTGGTCGGACTTCAGGTATAAGCCTTGCGTTGGTATCGCTCAGCTCTTCCCTCTCAACAGCAAGTGAAAGTGAATGCAGTTCAGAAAGAAGATACTCTGTATAAAGATTGAGTTGCTTTAATCAAAACGTATAGATGTAAATTTGTTTTAATATGGGGTGAAATTTGCCTGTCTCGTAAAAATTGTTCCATAGGTAAGATAAAAAGGAATATGCAAGCAAAAGATGAAGATGATCAAAAGTCTCACTATTATATTAATCTTGTCAAAGTTCATCATTCACTCTGATGGTATGTATTGTTTAAAAACAAAGACGTACATTTTGTGTCTGGTGATTTGTTTAATAATGTTTAAGAAATTGAAATGGGTTTGTTTTGGATGTACAAACTGATCTAGAAATATTTGCTTACCAAATACTCAGGTATTGATTTGTAATTGATTATTTGTGTTTATTATGTAATGCTTTGAGGCATACAGTAATTTCATATCTGCTATTCCTGTGGTAGGTTTCCTGCTACACGGCTCTGCTGGTCCTCTAACAGCCCAGCTGGGAGGAGCTGTACTGCTGCCCTGCTTTGTGGACAGACCCCTGCCTTTGGAGGAGCTGCAGGTGGACTGGAGA